TAGCCACCCAGTGACTAGTACCAGCCCCTTGCCGTACCCAACTAGCCACCCAGTGACTAGTACCAGTCTCTTGACGTACCCAACTAGCCACCCAGTGACTAGTACCAGCCCCTTGCCGTACCGGTACTAGCCACCCAGTGACTAGTACCAGCCCCTTGCCGTACCCAACTATCCACCCAGTGACTAGTACCAGCCCCTTGCCGTACCCAACTAGCCACCCAGTGACTAGTACCAGTCTCTTGACGTACCCAACTAGCCACCCAGTGACTAGTACCAGCCCCTTGCCGTACCCAACTATCCACCCAGTGACTAGTACCAGCCCCTTGCCGTACCGGTACTAGCCACCCAGTGACTAGTACCAGCCCCTTGCCGTACCCAACTAGCCACCCAGTGACTAGTACCAGCCCCTTGCCGTACCGGTACTAGCCACCCAGTGACTAGTACCAGCCCCTTGCCGTACCCAACTAGCCACCCAGTGACTAGTACCAGCCCCTTGACGTACCCAACCAGCCACCCAGTGACGAGTACCAGCCCCTTGACGTACCCAACTAGCCACCCAGTGACTAGTACCAGCCCCTTGCCGTACCCAACCAGCCACCCAGTGACTAGTACCAGCCCCTTGCTGTACCCAACTAGCCACCCAGTGACTAGTACCAGCCCCTTGCCATACCCAACTAGCCACCCAGTGACTAGTACCAGCCCCTTGCCGTACCGGTACTAGCCACCCAGTGATTAGTACCAGCACCTTGAACCAAGTGGTTCCTACCAGTATTAATTGCAATCTATCAGCTGTCTGCATCATGACAACCTCACATTTGCCAATGGGGTCATATTCATCGTAAAATTCTCCATTACGTTCACCATTTCATTTGGAGGGTGTTTTCTCGTCCTGAGAATCCCAAGAGCCTGCGTCCCAGTGACAGGCCTAGTCCTTGCAGGGGATTGACTGGTGAGCAATTGGGTCGGACTAGAGGTGGTTTCAGTGGGGTTAGGGATAGGGTTGATTAGAGCAATTGGTTCAAAACGTGATTTGGAGATGCTGCGTTGGCAGTGATGCACAAATAACAACGCTCACAATTCGTCAATACTGCCTTTTAAGAGGAAATATTTGGTTATGGTGAGATTTAGGGGTGGTTTGCTAGTGGTTACACTGGTTTGGGTGCGTGGTAATTCTGAAGGTTGGTTAGTAGCTGGCTGAGCAGGCTACCACGTCGTGCTAATGCTCGTGGCGAGCTGCTTTGGGGGATCTGGTCAGCAGAAAGGCGATAACGCGATGGTGGGCTCGTTTATTTGAGATGAGGCTCGTATTTGACTCATAGAGTTAGGGCGGGCGTAACTATGGTTAGGGTTATAATTTGGTAGCCTTGTGTGGTTATGGCCAGGGCAAGTGTTGTGGTTAGAATTAGCATTTGGTTGGCGAGTGTTTATGACTTGGGCTAGTGTTGTCTTTGCTCGCGTGGTTATTGCTAGCATGGCTAGGGTTGGCATGGGATTGGCTAATGTGGTTATGGCTCGGGATAGTATTTTGTCGGCGATTGTGGTTATGGTTAGGGCTAGTGTGGTATTGACTAGGGCTAGTGTGGTATTGACTAGGGCTGGTGTGGTATTGACTAGGGCTAGTGTGGTATTGACTAGGGCTGGTGTGGTATTGACTAGGGCTGGTGTGGTATTGACTAGGGCTAGTTTGGTATTGACTAGGGCTAGTGTGGTATTGACTAGGGCTGGTGTGGTATTGACTAGGGCTAGTGTGGTATTGACTAGGGCTAGTGTGGTATTGACTAGGGCTAGTTTGGTATTGACTAGGGCTGGTGTGGTATTGACTAGGGCTGGTGTGGTATTGACTAGGGCTAGTGTGGTATTGACTAGGGCTGGTGTGGTATTGACTAGGGCTAGTGTGGTATTGACTAGGGCTAGTGTGGTATTGACTAGGGCTAGTGTGGTATTGACTAGGGCTGGTGTGGTATTGACTAGGGCTAGTGTGGTATTGACTAGGGCTAGTTTGGTATTGACTAGGGCTGGTGTGGTATTGACTAGGGCTGGTGTGGTATTGACTAGGGCTAGTGTGGTATTGACTAGGGCTGGTGTGGTATTGACTAGGGCTAGTGTGGTATTGACTAGGGCTAGTGTGGTATTGACTAGGGCTAGTGAGGTATTGACTAGGGCTGGTGTGGTATTGACTAGGGCTGGTGTGGTATTGACTAGGGCTAGTGAGGTATTGACTAGGGCTGGTGTGGTATTGACTAGGGCTGGTGTGGTATTGACTAGGGCTAGTGAGGTATTGACTAGGGCTGGTGTGGTATTGACTAGGGCTGGTGTGGTATTGACTAGGGCTGGTGTGGTATTGACTAGGGCTGGTGTGGTATTGACTAGGGCTAGTGTGGTATTGACTAGGGCTGGTGTGGTATTGACTAGGGCTAGTGTGGTATTGACTAGGGCTGGTGTGGTATTGACTAGGGCTAGTGTGGTATTGACTAGGGCTGGTGTGGTATTGACTAGGGCTGGTGTGGTATTGACTAGGGCTGGTGTGGTATTGACTAGGGCTAGTGTGGTATTGACTAGGGCTGGTGTGGTATTGACTAGGGCTGGTGTGGTATTGACTAGGGCTGGTGTGGTATTGACTAGGGCTGGTCTGGTATTGACTAGGGCTAGTGTAGTATTGACTAGGGCTAGTGTGGTATTGACTAGGGCTGGTGTGGTATTGACTAGGGCTGGTGTGGTATTGACTAGGGCTGGTGAGGTATTGACTAGGGCTGGTGTGGTATTGACTAGGGCTAGTGTAGTATTGACTAGGGCTAGTGTGGTATTGACTAGGGCTGGTGTGGTATTGACTAGGGCTAGTTTGGTATTGACTAGGGCTGGTGAGGTATTGACTAGGGCTAGTTTGGTATTGACTAGGGCTGGTGAGGTATTGACTAGGGCTAGTGTGGTATTAACTAGGGCTGGTGTGGTATTGACTAGGGCTGGTGTGGTATTGACTAGGGCTAGTGAGGTATTGACTAGTGAGGTATTGACTAGGGCTGGTGTGGTATTGACTAGGGCTGGTGTGGTATTGACTAGGGCTGGTGTGGTATTGACTAGTGAGGTATTGACTAGGGCTAATGAGGTATTGACTAGGGCTGGTGTGGTATTGACTAGGGCTGGTGTGGTATTGACTAGGGCTAGTGAGGTATTGACTAGTATGGTATTGACTAGGGCTAGTGAGGTATTGACTAGGGCTGGTGTGGTATTGACTAGGGCTGGTGTGGTATTGACTAGGGCTGGTGTGGTATTGACTAGGGCTAGTGTGGTATTGTCTAGGGCTAGTGTGGTATTGACTAGGGCTAGTTTGGTATTGACTAGGGCTAGTGTGGTATTGTCTAGGGCTAGTGTGGTATTGACTAGGGCTAGTTTGGTATTGACTAGGGCTAGTGTGGTATTGACTAGGGCTAGTGTGGTATTGACTAGGGGTGGTTTGGTATTGAATAGGGTTGGTGTGGTATTGACTAGGGCTAGTTTGGTATTGACTAGGGCTGGTGTGGTATTGACTAGGGCTAGTGTGGTATTGACTAGGGCTAGTGTGGTATTGACTAGGGCTGGTGTTGTATTGACTAGAGCTGGTGAGGTATTGACTAGGGCTAGTGTGGTATTGACTAGGGCTGGTGTGGTATTGACTAGGGCTAGTGAGGTATTGACTAGTGAGGTATTGACTAGGGCTGGTGTGGTATTGACTAGGGCTGGTGTGGTATTGACTAGGGCTGGTGTGGTATTGACTAGTGAGGTATTGACTAGGGCTAATGAGGTATTGACTAGGGCTGGTGTGGTATTGACTAGGGCTGGTGTGGTATTGACTAGGGCTAGTGAGGTATTGACTAGTGTGGTATTGACTAGGGCTAGTGAGGTATTGACTAGGGCTGGTGTGGTATTGACTAGGGCTGGTGTGGTATTGACTAGGGCTGGTGTGGTATTGACTAGGGCTAGTGTGGTATTGTCTAGGGCTAGTGTGGTATTGACTAGGGCTAGTGTGGTATTGTCTAGGGCTAGTGTGGTATTGACTAGGGCTGGTGTGGTATTGACTAGGGCTAGTGTGGTATTGACTAGGGCTAGTGTGGTATTGTCTAGGGCTAGTGTGGTATTGACTAGGGCTGGTGTGGTATTGTCTAGGGCTAGTGTGGTATTGACTAGGGCTAGTGTGGTATTGTCTAGGGCTAGTGTGGTATTGACTAGGGCTGGTGTGGTATTGACTAGGGCTGGTGTGGTATTGACTAGGGCTAGTGTGGTATTGTCTAGGGCTAGTGTGGTATTGACTAGGGCTAGTGTGGTATTGTCTAGGGCTAGTGTGGTATTGACTAGGGCTGGTGTGGTATTGACTAGGGCTAGTGTGGTATTGTCTAGGGCTAGTGTGGTATTGACTAGGGCTAGTTTGGTATTGACTAGGGCTAGTGTGGTATTGTCTAGGGCTAGTGTGGTATTGACTAGGGCTAGTTTGGTATTGACTAGGGCTAGTGTGGTATTGACTAGGGCTAGTGTGGTATTGACTAGGGGTGGTGTGGTATTGAATAGGGCTGGTGTGGTATTGACTAGGGCTAGTTTGGTATTGACTAGGGCTGGTGTGGTATTGACTAGGGCTAGTGTGGTATTGACTAGGGCTAGTGTGGTATTGACTAGGGCTGGTGTGGTATTGACTTGGGCTGGTGAGGTATTGACTAGGGCTAGTGTGGTATTGACTAGGGCTGGTGTGGTATTGACTAGGGCTAGTTTGGTATTGACTAGGGCTAGTGTGGTATTGACTAGGGCTAGTGTGGTATTGACTAGGGCTAGTGTGGTATTGACTAGTGTTGTATTGACTCGGGCTAGGAGTTGGTTGCTGCTGCTCCTGTCCCTCCGCTGCTCGGGCTCGCGCTGTCGTGACGCCTGCGTGAGACGGGGGAGGAGGAGGTGGTGGCGGTGTTTCTACGAATCCACAAAACCCCATGGACGCTTCACCGCTCACGAGAAAAGAAGTTCCTAGGCGGAGTGATTCATCCTGCTGCTGCTGCTACAGCCGCTGTCCCTGGTGCTGAAACCTCAACTGCTCAGAGACTCGCCGCGGCACGGGGTTGTGGACAGCGCGCGAGGCCGCGGTTGTCGCCCAGATCCCAAGGGCGACCGAGATGGACGGCGCCGCGCTGGGGAAAACGAGGCGATCGCCCTCCCTGACGGGTAAGCGTGGAGGCGCCGAGACGCCCTTTGCTTCGAACGTTGCGCCTGGCGCCTGGGTCAATGCGACAATGCGTCGGCTGCGCAGAGCCGGTGACATTCACGCCGTTTGGAAACGCAGCCCGAGGTCGTTGGCAATCGAGTGCCATCGAGAGCCGTCGCCCGCAGGTCAATCCGGGCGTGTTGTGGACTGCGTGGACTGCATAGACTGCAGTGTGTGAGCGGGTGGCCGTCGTGAACCACGCGATGGCTCAGCGAGACGTGCCCCGCTCTGTCAGTGCCTCCGTACGGACAGCCGGATTAGATTACTCACTGGGCACCACACACACACACGCACAGCAAACATCCTCGTCAGCACCATCATCATCATCATCGCCCCCTGCTACGGAGACCTGGCAGGACTCTACTGAAAAAAGAGAGTCGTGAGACTTTTCCTGGCCAAACGAGGCCATTGAGACTCGCCAACTCTCTCCCTCCCGCCACTGTGGGAGCAGCAGCAGCAGCAGCAGTGAGCCGGGCCACCGAGGGGGCGATGGGACGGCTGAGTCAGCGCCGTCGCGAGGGAAGAGGGCGCCCTGGGGGCATGGCCATGGACCGGCGCCCTGGGGGCATGGCCATGGACCGGCGCCCTGGGGGCATGGCCATGGACCGCCACCAATGTCCCTTCACCCACCCCTCGTTAGCTGTGCAGCACTAAGCACCGAGCGCTGTACACAATCTCTCCTCGGATCTAGAAACTCCCCAAGGGAGGGGGCCTGGGGTGCCCGCATTTTAACAATTTTTTGAAACAGGGCCCCATAAAATAATGTAAAAAAAACATATTCGGTGCATTTTCTGGATCTCAAGATGGGGGGTTGATTGCCCCCCATCCGCCCCTTCGTGCATCTCTCTACCAACTGCCTCGGCCACTGCTGTGACAGCACGCGGCCACCGCAGCGCTCCAATTCGAATTTAAATCGCGACTTAAAGCTTTCGTGACTGCAGGATTTCATACTCCTTGGTTCTTTCACGTAGATAGAAAATAATAAAAAGGTAAAAAAACCACGACGTTTCGATCGCCCTCGGGTGAACAAACACAGCTGGCGGACCGTCGAGAGAAATATCGCGAGAGAGCCGCTTGAGCCAAATGCAGAGCCACTCCAGCCAAAGGTTATAAGTGCCTGGAGTAGACGGGGCTAGAGATGGAATTTGCAAGTAAATGCAAGATCGCAGAGCTAGGAATACCTCGGCTAATTGTGTCTGTATTAACCACAATACTTGTGGTCAGAATGCAAAACTAAAATAAGGGCGATCGGTGTTACCTCGGTGTCGCGGCATCTCTTCAGAGAAGTGAGAGATTCGATCAGATGAGCTCTCGAATTTGTCATGGAGAAAAAACAATCTCCCCTTCGAGCACCCGATTCGTGCGGCTAAGATGCTGGCAGTGACGAACACGTCTCCTCTGAAGGGTCCTTTCGACGTGGGAGGTTTCGTATGTGGCCGTGGGTTGCGTGAAACGAAGTCTGGGGCCGCAGAGGTTTTCCACCCCTGTCACAAGGAGAGCACGACCCGACTGTTGACTGTTGTTGTGAGCTCTTGTGAGAGTAATGCTTAGAGGGTGAGGGTGACGATGGTGGTGGTGAGGTGAGGGTGACGATGGTGGTGGTGAGGTGAGGGTGGCGGAGGTTGAGGAGGGTGACAGTGGTGAGGGTGTTGATGGAGTAAGGGTGGTGTAATTCCTGCAGTCACGAAAGCTCCAAATTAAGTATGGGGGTGAGGGTGTTGATGGAGTAAGGGTGGTGGGAGTGGTGAGGGTGTTGATGGGGTGAGGCTGGTGAGGTTGTTGATGGGGTGAGGGCGGTGAAAGTGTTGATGGTGGTGAGGCTGGTGAGGGTGTGGATGGGGTGAGGCTGGTGAGGGTGTTGATGGGGTGAGGGCGGTGAGAGTGGTGATGGAGTAAGGGTGGTGAGAGTGGTGAGGGTGTGGATGGGGTGAGGCTGGTGAGGGTGTTGATGGGGTGAGGGCGGTGAGAGTGGTGATGGAGTAAGGGTGTTGAGAGTGGTGAGGGTGTTGATGGGGTGAGCGTGGTGAGGCTGGTGAGTACGGCTCAACCAAGGCCACGGCCGTGCCGTGCCTCTAACCGAGCGTGGTGCGCGCGTCCCGTAGCCTCCATCCAGCTGGATGAGACCGTCTCCTGGATCCACACCCCCGCCGACTCGCACCCGCTGCTGCTCGGGAAGAACGGCGGCGGTGGCGGCGGCGGCATCGGCGTGGGCCTCATGAGCAGCATGGCCCCGCTGACGGCCGCGTCGACGCGCGACGCGGCCCCTCCACGCACCGTGATGCTCCTGTCGGCGCAGGAGGCGGCCCAGATCTACCACACCAACTACGTGCGCAACTCGCGCGCCATCGGCGTGCTGTGGGCCATCTTCACCATCTGCTTCGCCATCATCAACGTGGTGGTGTTCGTGCAGCCCTACTGGGTGGGCGACGGCGCCGAGACGCCGCGCGCCGGATACTTCGGCCTCTTCCACCTCTGCGTGAGCGGCGGCGTCTCCAAGGTCGACCTCAAGTGCCGCGGCTCGTTCGCCGACTTCTCCACCATCCCATCGAGCGCGATGCGCGCCGCCTCTTTCTTCGTGGGCACCTCCATGGTGCTCACCGTCACGTGCATCGTGTGCTTCTCGCTCTTCTTCTTCTGCAACACGGCCACCGTCTACAAGATCTGCGCCTGGATGCAGCTCACGGCCGGTGAGTGGCCGAGCGAGCGGACCGCGTGGGCCACCCCCCCCCCCCCCGTGGCCCCTGGAGCGGGGAGGCCACGGGGGGTCCCGGTGACCCCCAGAGGTCGCACGCTTCGGCCGTGGGCGCGCGGCGGAGCATCGAGCGGCATCACGAATTTGCTTGGCAAACATTGTCACAGTCATCATCACAGTCGTCGTCACAGACGTCATCACAGACATCATCACAGACATCATCACAGACATCATCACAGACATCATCACATGCATCGTCACAGTCGTCATCACAGACATCTTCACAAAGATCATCACAGTCATTATTACAGACATCTTCACAAACATCTTCACAGACATCTTCACAGACATCATCACACACATTACAAACATCATTGCAGACATCATCGCAGTCATCACAGACATTATCACGGACAATTTAACGCGTAGGCTTTCGCGACCAATATTATTCATAACATAGGTTTTTGGGTCAGATCGCGTTATTTATAAATGTGTCGTAACCCTCCACCACCCGACACAGCCAAACAGTAAAAAATGTGTCACGTTTTCAAAGGACAAATGAATTGACTTCTTTAGCCCACCGGTGTGTGCTGAAGAGAGAATCAACAGCATTTTAAAATTTGAGTAGTTCGACGTTTCGCTGATAATTACAATGAGCTTCATCGGTTGAAGTGTTGTGTAAAACGAATTATTACTGGCCAAGACTAATTAGAGAATCCATTGAAATTGAGAAAAACAGAAATGATTTCAATCGCTCTGACAGCTACAGGCTGAGTGCGGCCTGGAAGCGTATTATCAAATAAATACAATTATAATTCCTTATAAGGGAAACAAATACCAATGAATAACAATTGATTGATTACCAATCTATATAATCACAATACCCTCCCCCTCTTTGCCTCGAATCGCTGCACCAGATTGAATTGAAATTAAATGATGACGTCACCCTGATGCTGCTGCTCTATTTAATACCGGAAGCAACAGGAAAGCGTCACCATTCTTGCCCGATGAAGCTGATTGTAATTACCAGCGAAACGTCGTAATACTCACATTTTTAAATCCGGTTGATTATCTCTTCAGCACACACCGGTGGGCTAAAGAAGTGAATTATTTTGTCCTTTGAAAACGTGACACATTTTTTACTGATTGGCCGTGTCGGGTGGTGGAGGGTTACGACACATTTATAAATAACGCGATCTGACCCAAAAACCTATATTATGAATCATCACAGACATCATCACAGACATCATCACAGACATCATCACAGACATCACAGACATCACAAACATTATTACAGACATCATCATTAACATCATTACAGATATCACAAACATCATCACAAACATCATCACAACAAACATCACCAACATACTCTTTGGTTTTTTCGGTAAAGTCACGTAGATGAAACATAAAATTGAAATAAATTAAATCACGACGTTTCGGAGGCAACACAAGCTTCCATCTTCAGGTGGCACCGTCACAGCAAAATCACCGTATCAAACGTCGTGATTTAATTTATTTTAATTTTATTTTTCACCTACGTGACTTTACCGAAAAAACCAAAGAGTATGGACCCTTGCAGTCACGAAAACTTCAAATCTAGAATCACCAACACAATCTGTGTGCGATCCACAAACCCTCGCCGCTGCCTCCGCAGCGCTGCGTTCGAGTAGCCACGTGCAGCCACCACCACCACCACTAAGTGGCGGCGACGTCGGCACGGCGCTTGTGCCAGGCTAGGTGCACTTTGACGCCACGTGCAGCGCGGAATGTCCGCTGGCAGGAGGCCACGGGACAGACCCAGGTGCCACTGTCCATCACCGCTCCCATCGAGGCTCCCCCCTGCTCCCCGCTGCTCCCCTCTGCTCCCCCCTGCTCCCCCCTGCTCCCCTCTGCTCCCCCTGCTCCCCCCTGCTCCCCCCTGCTCCCCCCTGCTCCCCCCTTAATCCCCTCTGCTCCCCCCTACTCCCCCCTGCTCCCCCCTGCTCCCCCCTGCTCCCCCCCTGCTCCCCCCTGCCCCCCCCTGCTCCCCTTTGCTTCCTCCTACTCCCCCCTTAATCCCCTCTGCTCCCCCCCTGCTCCCCGCTGCTCCCCCCTGCTCCCCCCTGCTCCCCCCTGCTCCCCTCTGCTCCCCCTGCTCCCCCCTGCTCCCCCCTGCTCCCCCCTGCTCCCCCCCTGCTCCCCCCTTAATCCCCTCTGCTCCCCCCTACTCCCCCCTGCTCCCCCCTACTCCCCCCCTGCTCCCCCCTACTCCCCCCCTGCTCCCCCCTACTCCCCCCCTGCTCCCCCCTGCTCCCCCCTGCTCCCCCCTACTCCCCCCCTGCTCCCCCCTGCTCCCCCCTGCTCCCCCCTACTCCCCCCCTGCTCCCCCCTGCTCCCCCCTGCTCCCCCCTACTCCCCCCTACTCCCCCCTGCTCCCCCCTGCTCCCCCCTGCTCCCCCCTGCTCCCCCCTGCTCCCCCAACCCCGTGTGCATGTAGCCGGGTGCCTGGTGCTCGGCTGCCTGATCTTCCCGGACGCGTGGGACGCTGCGGAGGTGCGCGCTCTGTGCGGCGAGCGCGCCGACAAGTACACGCTGGGCGAGTGCTCGGTGCGCTGGGCCTACATCCTCGCCATCATCGCCATCCTGGACGCCAAGGTGCTCGCCTTCCTCGCCTTCGTGCTGGGGAACCGCCAGGATGCGCTGCTGCCGCCGGACTTCAAGCTGGAGAGCAAGGGTGCGGGGGGGGGTGGGTGTGGGGGGGGGGGGTGCGGGGGGGGGTGTGGGGGGGGTGCGGGGGGGGACAGCGCGCCGTGCCCCATACATCGCCAGCACTGCACCATTATCATCACCATCGTCAGCCCCATCATCTGCACCATCATCATCATCGCCATCGTCAGCCCCATCATCATCATCATCGCCATCATCATTACCATCATCATCACCATCGTCATCACCATCATCGGCCCCATCATCATCATTATCATCGCTTTCATCATTACCATCATCATCACTGTCATCATCACTATGATAAAAACCATAATCATCATCACCGTCATCATCACTATGATCATAACCATCATCATCATCGCCATCATCATTACCATCATCATCAGCATCATCGTCGGCAGCACCATCATCAGCCCCATCATTAGCCCCATCACCATCATCATCACCGTTATCATCACTATGATCAAAACCATAATCATCATCACCGTCATCATCACTATGATCAAAACCATAATCATCAGCACCATCATCAGCACTATGATCAACACCATCATCATCGTCACCATCATCACTATGATCAAAAGCATCATCATCATCATCACCGTCATCATCATTATGATCAAAGCCATAATCATGAGCACCATCATCAGCACTATGATCAACACCATCATCATCACCATCATTAGCCCCATCACCATCATCATCACCGTCATCATCATTATGATCAAACCCATAATCATCAGCACAATCATCAGCACTATGATCAACACCACCACCATCATCACCGTCATCATCACTATGATCAAAAGCATCATCATCACCATCATCAGCACTATGATCAACACCATCATCATCATCGCCATCATCAGCACCATCATCATCACCGTCATCATCACTATCATCAAAACCATAATCATCATCACCGTCATCATCACTATGATCAAAAGCATCATCATCACCATCATCAGCACTATGATCATCAACACCATCATCATCATCGCCCTCATCAGCACCATCATGATCATCAGCACAGCTACACTCGTGGTCCCAGGTCTGTCGAGTCGTCAGTCTCTCGCTGCTGGGTCGCAGCTCCACGTGTTCACCGCTGACTGGCGCCTTATTTGAGCGAATGTTCAAGTTCCTCTCTCTGCTGCGTTTCTCCCCCCTCCCTCCCTCCCCTACGCTCTCGCCCACTGCACCTGCACGGTGGCGTGCAGCTTGAGGTAAGACTTCTGCTGCTACTGCTGCTGCTACTGCTGCTGCTGCTACTGCTGCTGCTACTGCTGCTGCTGCTACTGCTGCTGCTTCTACTGCTGCTGCTACTGCTGCTGCGGCTGCTGCTGCTGCTGCTACTGCTGCTACTTCTGCTGCTGCTGCTGCTACTGCTGCTACTGCGGCTGCTGCTACTACTGCTGCTGCTGCTACTGCTACTGCTGCTACTGCTGCTGCCGCTACTGCTGTTACTGCTGCTGCTGCTACTGCTGCTACTGCTACTGCTGCTACTGCTGCTGCTACTGCTGCTGCTGCTACTGCTGCTACTGCTGCTGCTGCTACTGCTGCTGCTGCTACTGCTGCTACTGCTGCTGCTGCTACTGCTGCTACTGCTGCTGCTACTGCTGCTTCTGCTACTGCTGCTGCTGCTACTGCTGCTGCTACTGCTGCTACTGCTGCTGCTGCTACTGCTGCTGCTGCTACTGCTGCTGCTGCTCGCGGGCTCCCTCGTGGAGGCCTTCGCAGGCCGTCCGCACGGTAGCGGCCGAGTGGCCCGCGACGCGTGCGGCCGTCACGTGGGTCGTGTGGAGGGGAGCGGGACGAGCGGGACGTTTCGATTTAAAGCTTTCGTGACTGCAGGGATTCATCTTCTTGGTTCTTTCGGTAAAGCCACGTAGAATGGAAATAATAAAATAATACAAATAAAACATAATAAAATAATTCTCACGACGTTTCGGCCACAACACAAGCAGCCGTCCTCAGGTGAAGAACAGGTCTGTCGATAAGACAGAGTCTGACAGACCTGTTCTCCACCTGAAGACGGCTGCTTGCGTTGTGGCCGAAACGTCGTGAGAATTATTTTATCATGTTTTATTTTTATTATTTTATTATTTCTATTCTACGTGACTTTACCGAAAGAACCAAGAAGATGAGCGGGACGTTGTCGCGGCGTCAGCGTAGTGAACGCGCGGATCTGACGGTGCGACTTTGGGATGGGGACCTCCTCCACCCGCCTCTCTGCTCGCAGACTCGGGGACTCACGGGTTCACGGACTCACGGACTCCGCGACGGGACGAGGAGGAGGAGGCGGCGCTGGGCGGACTGCGCCGTGGACTCCTCGTGACGGCCGGACTGCGAGAGGCGGTTTCGTGTTTTGTTGAAGCGTCACCGATCGAGGCCCGGCTCAGCCGGTGGCCGTCACGGCCGTGACGTCACAGATCGGCCGTCACAGCCTTCACGGCCGCCAGCTGTTGTACAGGGGGGGGGCGGGGGGTCGCGAGGGGGGGCGGGGGGTGGGGGGGGGGTCGCGGGGGGGGGGGGTGTTGCTGCTGTGATCCCACAGAGCTGCGAGTCTCCGGTTTTTAAATCCTTTATATTAAGTTCACTTGCTTGCGCGCTTACGACCGTGCAAATCTTTCGGTCGTTTTTTAACCCACTTCCCGTGATCCAATCGAGCTGACATTTAGCACACAGACTCGTTGTGCGTGACAATTAATGTTCGTGAAAAAAAAATTCCAAAATTTTACACTTTTTAGGAAAAAATAAACTATATGTAATTACCAATTGCTTATTGGTGGCAGGCAATCATCTGACCCATAGGTGGCAGCCATCTCAAGCCAGAGGACGAGAGGACTCTAGCCGCCACGCATATAAAGGATTTATAGTGACAAACTTTGTTTTTACGGGTTACTTTTTTTTTATCGTCGTCAGCGGCAGCGGGAGGTGGTGGCGGTGGCGGCGGAGTTGGGGGCGGTGATCGCGACGATCCATCCCAGCTGAGAGATTCGCGGCGTGATTTTTGAAATTTGGGAAAATCGAAACGCCGCCGCGCAGTGACGTCACGGCATCTTTCACGGCCACTGTGACGTGTGTCTACGCTCAATGCAGCCGCAGTATTAATTGGGGCGGCCGCTGGAGCTCGAACCGCGAACCTCGGCGACGAGCGCCGAACGCGCCACGACCGCCGGGCGCTGCCCAGGCGAGGCCTGGTACCAGCACCCATCGTGACGCTTTGCCCGTAGTGGAGGATGCAGCACAGCAAGTAGGTGGGTCCGTACAGGCTGCCCCTGTGTGTGTGTCTGTGTGTTGCGTGTGAGTCTTCTGCCCTGGCTGTGTGTGTGTCTGGGTGTGGGTGGGGTCCACGCTTGCGAAACGTGGAACATCTTCGCCGGTTAGAAACATTTAGGCTGGCCTGTCTACGATCTATCCTGGGTTTAACCAGGCTGGAGTGTGTGAGAAGCTCACAAATCCCTTGAAAGATCTGGGCAAAGTCCCATCTGTGAGCTCCTCCGGCAGGCAACATGCGTTGGCTGGGTCATGTAGCCCGCATGCTCAGCCACTGCATGCCTAAACAGCTTTTGTTCAGCCGGATCGAGGGGGCTAAACGGGCGCGGCACGGGCTGCAGAAGAGATGGAGTGATGTGGTACAGGAGGATCTGGAGCTGAGTGGACTTGCCGATTACTGGTACCAGCGGTGTCAAGATCGGCCTCAGTGGAGGCTCGTGAAGGACGCTACTGGGCAGTTGGAGGCAGTCGCCTTCCAGCAACAACGGAGGGCGGAGGAGCGACGCTCACAACAACGAGCGGAGCGCCGGGTGGCTAAAGCACATCGAGTTGGCACAGTTAGAGGGCACCGGTGGTGCATGTGCCAGTCATCTCGGTCATCTCAGTCAGTCGACCCGTGGCACCTGGATCTGCCCCGTGACCTCCTGCCAGCGGGCGTTCAACACTTCATGTGGCCTCAAGGTGCACATAGCTTGGCACAAGCGTCGTGGTGACGTCACCGCCACGTAGTGGCGAATGGTGGTTGTTGCTGTTGTATGGGGAGTGGTAGGGTAGCAGTTAGCACGCAGCGCTACGAACCTGGCCACCCGAGTTAGATTCCCGCTCACGGCCAACACCAGTGAAGATGATTAAAACCGGTCCTGGGCATCCCCTAGGTCGACTCAGCCTAAAATGAGTACTTGGTGCGGTGTGTAACCATCGCCACTAGGGAGACAAAGGCGGCCGGGCGTGGTGTTGGCCACCCACCCCCTCGTGTGCCGTGCCGGCCTTCATAGGTGCTCGCTAACAACACTTGCCCCAACAGTCTGTAATACTGGGGGATCTTTGTGTGTGTCTTTGTGTGCGCGTGTGTCTGTGCGTGCGTGTGTGTGTGTCTGTGCGTGTGTGTGTGTCTGTGTGTGTGTGTGGCTGTCTGTGTGTCTATGTGTGTGTCTCTGTGTGTGCGAGTTTTCTTCGGACTCGTGCTCCGGGTGTGAAATCGTAAATATTGCAGCGCTCACAGCGCTCTTCAACCCTGCCGAACATTGTCCTTCTGGACACTGTGTGAGGATTTCCTGGGTAAACTATGAACAATGTATTATCCATTGTGAGTAAAACGTAGATGTTTCGTTTATTCAATATCGTGACATAATCTCAATGATGTAAGTAGAGGAAAATCCCAACGTAAAATTAACTCTTCGTTTAAATTTTTATTTATTTATAAATATATTTCAATGACGTCTGTTGTTCGGCGCAGCGAGCACACCACCAGTACGCACAGCACGCCACCAGTACGCACAGCACACCACCAGTACGCACAGCACCCCACCAGTACACACAGCACACCACCAGTACGCACAGCACACCACCAGTACGCACAGCACCCCACCAGTACGCACAGCACGTCACCAGTACGCACAGCACACCACCAGTACGCACAGCACACCACCAGTACGCACAGCACACCACCAGTACGCACAGCACACCACCAGTACGCACAGCACGTCACCAGTACGCACAGCACGTCACCAGTACGCACGTAAATATTGCAGCGCTCACAGCGCTCTTCAACCTTGCCGAACATTGTCCTTCTGGACACTGTGTGACGTTGATCTCGCGTTCCTCGACCTGAAATTTTAATTCCGAGGGAATTTCGCAACAATTGCGTTCAAATCCAAAGTTGTAATATCGGTGTCTTTCTGTTGCTGCTGCGACGTTGAGTCGGAAACCTGGATTCAAACTCAGGGTCTCGGCGGTGGCGGTGGGGGGGGGGTAAGGGGGGGACTTGGTGGCTCGCACCTCTGTGCCACGTGGGCCACCACCTCACCAATGGGTGTCAATGGGCGATGGATTGGTGGCGATGTGTGGGATTTGCTGCTCTATCTCTTTGGTGGTACCCGCCTCTCGCACAGCGGCGGCTCGTGCGGTGACGGCTCCGCTCTGTCAATGCCCTCGGTGCCCCCCCCCCCCTCCGCTCTGTTGTCGACAGCTCTTAACGCCCCCCCCCCCCACCACAGTCTCATTAATCGGGGGGCGGGGTGCAATCGGGCTTCAATAGCTGCTGTTTTGGTGCCAAATGTACAGTGTTAGGCCTTGTATTTATAGAGTTTATTGCGAAATAAAGTGTTATATAATACATTCTAATTGTTTACAACATTGGTACCTCATTTGTCAGTAAAAAATATGATAATTTTTTTTACCCTCTTGTCTGGCAACAAAACTGACACCTTTTTTACGAGGAGTCATGTTTGCATAGACTACAATACCTGCAGTCATAATGCAAACTAAAACATAACTCTGATAATGTATGCGCCTTTTCGCGTCATCTGGTCCAACACCATGTGAGACTAGGCTCTAAGGAAAGCTGTCTCGGGTGTGGACCAATCAACTTCAAGGACAGTGCATACATTATCAGAGTTATGTTTTTTGTTTGCATTATGACTGCAGGTATTGTGGTCTATGCAAACATGACTCCTCGTAAAAAAGGTGTCAGTTTTGTTGCCAGATGAAAGGGTAAAAAAACAATTATCACTTTAAGATTCATCTTCTTGGTTCTGTCGGGGAGACAGCGTCATTCAGACGCTGTCTCCCCGACAGACCTGGTCTTCACCTGAAGACGGCTGCTTGCGTTGTTCTAATTGTTGTTGTTGTGATTATGATCGCACGCTCACAACCAACAGGCATGCCGATGTCACTGCGGGGGACTGTGGGGAGCTGGGCTCGGGGTGGGGGGGTTCGTGTCGACTCTTCAGTCCCGCACGATGCCACCCAAGTGTCCAGTGGACGCTCTGTGATGGAGCACATTGATGGGACTTGCATGTCAAGAGGCCCAGTGGACAGCAAGTCCACTAGAGACACACAGATCCCCCGTAAAGCCTTTAAAGCTGTTGGGGACAAGTGCTGTTAGCGAGTAGCACCCATGAAGGCCGGCAGGGTATGATGGGTGGCCAGCACCACGCCCGACCGCCTTTGTCTCCCTAGCGGCGATGTTTACACACCACGCCAGGTGCTCATTTGAGGTTGAGTCGACATAGGGGAGGCCCAGGACATGTTCAGATAATCGATGTAATACTGTCGATGAATGTTGCGCATTACACGATTACCACACAATCACACGTGGCGACAAACAGCAACGTGGAACACACCGGCTGGTCTGCACGACCACCGCTGGACCACACACGCATTTACAAACACCGCCATCAACTCCACTGCTGGATAAGGGCCCCAATCATCACACCTTGCGGCTCGTGGACGTTGTTTGACCATACTTCACCGCGCTGGTCAGGGCGGGTGGGTGAAGGCGGGGGGAGTATTAGACGTATGGTACAATGGATAGACAATTGAGTTTGCCCTCTTGCTGCTAAGCAGCCTATAGCAACCCTTTATGCACGGCGCTCCGCTCGTCCAAGCGCTGCTCAGGTTCAGCTGCCCAGGCTCAGCTGCCCAGATTCAGCTGCCCAGCAGGCTCGGCCCCGCTTAGCTTTGAGACATCCAATGAGATATGGGGCGATTTGGTCACAGGAAGTAACTCGACGAATGTTGCCTGGTGATGTCACAGCAGATCCTGCTGTGCCCACGTGCCCGGGGTCTGTGACGTCACCGGGGTCTGTGACGTCACCGGGGTCTGTGACGTCACCGGGGTCTGTGACGTCGCCTGTGCTCCACTCAAGGACTCGCGTCTCCCGTGACGCCCGCGAGAGGGCGACGCTCGCGGTGGAGTCCTCGGCGCTGTTCGTGGGCAGGGGGCGGGGCTAGTGGGAGGGGCGGGGCTAGTGGGGGGGGGCAGCAGCAAGGAACGGGAACGGGAGAGGAGGCAGTGGAGGAGGCAGTGGAGGAGGCAGTGCAGGAGGGGGCTGGAGCCTGGCCACCATCTGGGGCCGGGGTGCTGGCGGTGTGTGGACGATCTGGGAGAGGGGGCGCCAGACAGAGGGAGCAGCAGCAGTCGAGGTGTAAGAGGAGTGACCTCCCACGCAGCGGAGCTCGACGAAGGGGGTGGGGGGGTGAGAGGGGTTTCTTGACGTTCGCTCCACGTGGTTTGCCCGCTCCGCAGTCGGGGGGGGGTGCTAAGGTCGCAGTGTTTGACCCACAAGTCACGATTTTTGTGATTTTGCTGAAGCAAACATTACCGGTGACTTGTACAGGAACAGCTTTGAAATTAATCAGTTTAATGTTTCGCTACGTTGTCGCCCGGAGACTGGTCTTGTCGCTCCACTGCTGAATGAGGGCCTCTCTCCCCACACCTGGTGATTTGGGCCGTACTTCAGCACGGGCGACTGTTATAACGACAGGATATAGTTGTCTTGATAAAATTTGACGGTATTTATTTTTAGACAAACCAAGTTTGTGTGGTGAAAGCAGTCGGGTTTGATGGCAAAACGCAAGCGAAGCAGAGCCTCCTGGACCGCCAGCAAATGACGAATCCGCGGATTCTGCCCCCAGGTGCAGGGTCAACTCCACATCGCGGCTTCAGTGGGGAAACGCGAAAATTTGCAGGCAAAGTGGCGCTGCCAATGGACATCTTCATAGACAAACAGCGCCCCCTAGTGGCGGGACAGGGCCCCCGAGTGGTTAACTGTTAATAAAGATCTTCTTGGTTCTTTCGGTAAAGCCACGTAGAATGGAAATAATAAAATAATAAACATTAAATAATTCTCACGACGTTTCGGCCACAACGCAAGCAGCCGTCCTCAGGTGAAGAACAGGTCCGTCGATAAGACAGAGTCTGAATGACTTATCGACGGACCTGTTCTTCACCTGAGGACGGCTGCTTGCGTTGTGGCCGAAACGTCGTGAGAATTATGGTATTATGATTTATTTTTTTATTATTTTCATTCTACGTGACTTTACCGAAAGAACCAAGAAGATGAATCCCTGCAGTCACGAAAGCTTCAAATCGAAATGTTAATAAAGAGTTGATTCTTTCATCTCATTGTCCAGATCTCCTTCACGTGGCCCGCGTCTCCACCTCCTAGACGCCCTGCCACGTACGCACAGAGACACACGTTATCGCATACACATGGAGACACACACACACACGTGTGAGTACAGTAACATCCACATGGGGCACTCAGTTTCTCTCGTGGCGTGTTCACCGATTTATTCGCCACTCGCCTCTGCTGGGACTGGAACCTGGCAGCTGCAGGTTCTGGGGTCTGCCTCGCATCGCCTGCAGCCATCGCGTGCTCGGTGGGAGTTGTGGATGCTCTGGTTATTAAATAATCGCCCTTATCAACTTTTATATTTACTATGAGACATCTCCTTTACCAGTGGCAAAATATAGTAGTAGGTTTTTACCCTTTAAACTGGTACAAAACTGACACCTTTATGCAAGGCATCATGTTTGCAATAACCACAACACAAGCAGTCAAAATGCAAACAAAAAGAAACAACTCTGATGATGATAATGTATGCACTGTCCTTGAAGTTGATTGGTCCACACCCGAGACAGCTTCCCTTAGAGCCTAGTCTCCATTGGTGTTGGACCAGATGACGCCAAAAGGCGTACAACTCAAAAAAAGTGCACTATTGCAAACATGATGCCTTGTATAAAGGTGTCAGTTTTGTACCAGTTTAATGGGTAAAAACCTACTACTATAACTTTTTTATTGTGATTTCAGACGGGTTTATTTTTATATAAAAGAAAATGAATAAGTATTTTGTGTTTCTTATGATACAATTTGCAAAATATATTAATCGATACATTTGGATTTGAAAAAAATTAATGCTTCAAATTTGATATATTTTTTTATATATCAATGGATAAAGTTGGATTTGAACCTGCAATCCTGGGACGCGCAGCCGCACAGCCGCACGTGCTACCCGCTTGGCCACGATGATGACGTCACAGGGCCCCACGTGATGAAGTGGCTGCACAGGTGCGCGAGCGTGCGTGCGTACAGCGTGACGTCATGACGTTACGTCATGCGCGAGTAACATTACCGCGCGTGGCTACGTCATCGCCCCACGATTGATCCGTCACTACGTCATTCATGAATAATTCAATACGACGGAGTCGCATGCGGGTGAGCATTGCCCCATGGGGCGACTCTTCCGCTCATGAATCCGTCTCGGGATTTATTTTATTGGTTAATAAAAAAAATCTATACGAAGTGCATAAGCGCTTTGCAAGCACCGGGTTCAGTTCAGTTCATTAATACTGGTAGGAACGAAGTGAACCAGACTACAATAGATTATATCGTCAGTCCGTCCGTCCGATGTCCGATTACGTGTAGCAACATCGCCCCCTACTGCAAACACTTGGCAGGACCCTACAAAAACCTTTAGACTCAGTGAGGCTTTCCTGGCTAAACAAGTGTAATAATACATTATGTTTGTATTCTTTGGTTATTCGTTTCTACCAGCCCACCCCGCAGGGACCTGTTTAGGTTTAGCCCTGTGAGCCATTCGGCTCTTGAATCGGGTGCAACCGCAACAAACAAAAAACAGAAACATGAACAAGAAAACATCTTAAAGTGACTACACGCAACAGAAAAATTCAGGGAAAAAACAGCAGTCTTCCAGAAAAAAACACCGCATTTCAACGCTGTGTGCAAAAATCCCAGTGGGATGCAAGTCAAACAATAGCAACCATAAGACATTACAGATTTGAAGCTTTCGTGACTGCAAGGATACATACTCTTTGTTTTTTTTCGGTAAAGTCACGTAGGTTAATTCTAGATTTGAAGCTTTCGTGACTGCAAGGATTCATACTCTTAGTTCTTTCGGTAAAGTCACGTAGGTAAAAAATGAAATTAAAATTAATAGAAAATAAAAACAATAAAGTCACGTTGGTTAATCAGTGATTTTGAAGACGGAGGCTTGTGTTGCCTCCGAAACGTCGTGATTACATTTATGCGTTTTCTTTTTTAACCTACGTGACTTTACCGAAAAAACCAAAGAGAAGCTTGTCTTCCCGACAGACCTGTTCTTCACCTGAGGACGGCTGCTTGCGTTGTGGCCGAAACGTCGTGAGAATTATTTTATTATGTTTTATTTTTATTATTTTATTATTTCCCTTCTACGTGACTTTACCGAAAGAACCAAGAAGATGAGTAACCATAAGACAACGTAGATTAAAGTTATCAGTCCAATTCTGATAGTCGATCCGCGGACGAGTGACGGGCACTCGGCATCCCCGCATGTGCTAGAGACGCCTGCTGCATCTCAGTCAATGCTTCGTAATATTCAACTAGAGTGGTCGATTTCGATTTAAAGCTTTCGTGACTGCAGGGATTCATCTTCTTGGTTCTTTCGGTAAAGTCACGTAGAAGGGAAATAATTAAGTAAAATAAATATATTTCATTATGTTTAATTTTTATTATTTTATTATTTCTCTTCTACGTGACTTTACTGAAAGAACCAAGAAGATAAAGTGCTCGATTTACTTACTACGTAATGATTTGCTCATTTATCCAGCAGACTCAATCGTTTGGGGCCGTCCATAAATGACGTCACGCGATTTTGGACGATTTTTTACCCCCCCCCCCCCCCCCTTCGTCACACGGCGTCATGAAAAGTCAGACCCCCCCTCAAATATGACGTCACAAAGCTCTGCCCCCCCCCGACCCCCAAAACCATATTTCCATTTTTGAAAATAAAACATGCTTCAAATCGCTTTAAACTATTGTCATTGTAGTGCGTATTTAATGTGGCGCTGCACTCTGATGTTGTGGGAGAAAACATTTATTAAAAAGTCTATTTAATTAAGTAGAACGTGTTGTCTATATTTATTTAAAGTTGCGAATTTTGATGTGACGTCACATTTCTCAACCCCCCCCACCCTCGTCACACATCGTCACAAATGTCTGACCCCCCCCCCCCAGGTGCGTGACGTCATTTATGGACGGCCCCTTTTCAGGAGGGTCCTGTTGTTTCGTTGGGGTTGATGACGAGTCGTGTTTATTATTCACGTGTAGGAGGAGGCGGAGGAAATTGAAGCACCCGGAGATAACCCCACGCCTTGCGCGAGGGGGCAACACTCGATCCCTGTACAGATGGACACAGATGGCGATTAGTCCACTCGCTGTACTGCCTTCTGGCGGGCCAGGCTTGTGGCAACTCCCTCAACGCCCACGGGTAGAAGAGAGCTTCACAACGTCTTTGTGTGATCCACAAACCCTGGCTGCTGCCTCCACGACGCTGGGTTGGAGCAGCCACGCGCAGCAGCGTGGCCACCGAGAGCCAGGTCCTCATTGGTTGTATTATATTCTTGGTTCTTTCGATAAAGTCACGTAGAAGGGAAATAATACAATAATAAATATTTAAACATTATAACATACAATTCTCACGACGTTTTCGGCCACAACGCAAGCAGCCGTTCTCAGGTGAATATCGGGTCTGTCGGAAAGACAGAGTCTGAATGAGCAACACCACCAAGCTTATTTTATGATTTCCCTTCTACGTGACTTTACCGAAAGAACCAAGAAGATGAATCCCTGCAGTCACGAAAGCTTTACATCGAAATTTGTCTTGGTTCTTTCGGTAAAGTCACGTAGAAGGGAAATAATAAAATAATAAGAATTCAACAATACAATTCTCACGACGTTTCGATTGCAACACAAGCAATCATCATCAGGTGTGAAACCCACAGCAAGAACATTTTCTTGCTGTGGTTTTCACACCTGATGATGATTGCGTGATAATTGTATTGGTTGTATTATGCCACGTGACGTGTTTATCTTCATTGATTGCGAGGCCCCCGCTGCTCGATGAAGACGCCGCCAAGCTCGACGTGAGGAGCACGCGGGGGATGGCGC